GGGCGAGAGGGCAGACCTTATTGCATACTTAAAGTCAGCCACATCATAATACAGTTGGAGAGCGAGGAGACTGCAATATTTAAATTAATTGTTTGGCTTTGAATGTCTTTAACGATATCTATTCAAATGATGTGACAGATCAAGTGGCCAGGATTATTCATTATAATATGTGGCATGCATCTAATGCCAGTTCATTTTAGCAGGGAAGATTTCCACTTCTTCGTTTGTCCAAGTAATTTAAAAATGAGTCAGAGTTACTGAAGATCCCCAGTGTATCCACTTAGTGAATGAAATCTGTGTCCCCTGGTTTCACAGGAGCTGTTGTACATTAAATTATTAAATTGTACTGAACCCTTAAAGTATTTGGATCACAATGAGTGACTGAACAAGCAGCATGCTTATTGGTAACTAATTAATTGTATCAGATGGATTTGATCTGTCAAATAAAACGGTGAAAACTGCAATTTTGTCATGTCTATTCATGTTCTAATGCATTTGCCTGCTGATGTTTCTGTTTGTGCACTTTAATGATAGCTCACAATTTCTTCAGTTTTACCTTTTGACTTTAAGTTCTCAATGTACCAAGCAGACCCTTTAGGAGAAGTCGGATGACAATGTACTTGAGACCTTTAAATACAGTGTATAAAGCATGAGGTATACTCTAATTCCTCTGAGAAATTCTGACAATTTTTTTGGTAAAAAGATGCAGTAAGAATATTTTCATGATGGTTTGCCTGGAATTTTCTTAGAAATTGCGGAGGTTGTACTTTTTTTTTTTTTCTTCTTTTTTAAATCATGACCATAGTTCAGTATAAATGGTGCTCTTGGCTGAAAGATAATGGAAGCATTGTTCCTCCAACCAATACTGAAGCTTTCATGTCAGGAAATTCTGTTGCGCTGCCATAAGTGATTAATTATAACGTTATTATAACATTATTATTGCACAATGATATTACTGCAAATTTAATACAACTAAAGTGCATTTAGACTGCTTTATGTGCTCTGTTTTTCAGATTCATTACATCCAAATTACGGATTTACTATCATTCTTGAGAACTATCATTCATGGATATAAGCACAGACACTTGATTTCATCTTTAGCTTGAACTGGTTGGTTAATTGTCATATGTGACCTGGGTTCAAAGGTCAACAGGGTATAGCTTCACCAGTAAATCTCCTCAGACAAAAGTTACCAGGAAAGACGTGTTATCGGTAAAGTTTGGAAGATCTCATATAAAGTAATTGCGTAGCGACTCTGGCCTAACAGACCTTATCAGCCTCAGCTTTGATTGAACTTGATCATTAAACGTAGATACGTGCAGTACACATCAGAGAGCAAAGTCCGAACAGAGATCCCTCAGAAAGTGCACCGCTGGTCAGATCCAGCCTAACCATCGGCCTAGTCTACAAAAGTCTACAAAACTTTTATGTGAAAGTTCCTAATATATTTGGAAGATTACAGAAATGTAACAAACTTGGTTTATATGCAGATACACATCTACCCTGAGTCATTAAAACTGCAGCGGTTTCAATGTCATTAGCAGAGTCATTTCAAGTGAAATTGCCGCCACCTACAGGACACCGAAAGTTACGCAACGATATTTTGTAACACTTTTTTAAATTGAACGTAAAGGTTGCACAATCAACATCCATGTTTGTTGAAACACGTAAGACATAATGTCTAAAATTAGTCTATATTCTGTATTAATGTTGTTTGAATATACATTTGGAAATCCATGGCTTTACAATAGGCCAATGAAATATATTAACATTTTTGTTTATGGTAGATGTAATTTCGATGCTGTGACATTTAATATGAATATATTTGTTAAATCCTGTTTATTTAAAGCTTTACGACTAGAATGTCTTGTTGATTTATGCCTTTGACATAAATAGAGCAAGTACACTGCCCGTCTGTGTTTGTCATTGAGAGGAACCCCTGCCAGATCTTGTATATCGAAGATGGAGCAAGTGTTGGGTCACAACAGCATCGTTTCTATGGCAAGCCGTTTTAGCATTAAATACTACTTGCTGTACTAGTCATAATTTAGTTTTGACTAGTCAAAATTCCAATTCCAGATATCTATTCTGCAATTTTGACTCGTCGTAATTGGAATTAAGATATCTACAATGTGATTATGACTAGTCATTATATGCATTGAAGATATCTACAATGTTATTTTGACTAGTCATAATTGGATAGTCAAAACAAACTTTTAAATGCTAAAACGGCTTGCGATACAGGGATAGTCTAGTGAATGCGTGTGTAATAGTGTAACAAACATATAAAGCAAACATTTATTATCCCTTTTGTGTCAGTTACATCAACATTCTCAAGGTGAATGTGTCTGATACAGGAACTGAGATAAGGAATATGAATAAGACATGAGCTGGGAGGGATCAGAGGACGGTGCTGCCACAGAACTACACTAGAGAGCAGCAGTCAGCTATATTTCATTTTCTTTCTTTCTTTCTTTTGTAAAACTGTAAATGTTAACCGCCATAAAAATGCAGGTGGAAAAATAGAAGAGTTACAGTTACAAAACTCGCATGCAGATTGGCTAATAAAGATGTTATTATTCTTTGTTAATTAAGAGACTACATGAAATATTAGAAATATAGAAATAACACTTTATTTTTACTTATGGGCTTCAAGGATAACATTCAGAATAGTCAGCAGATTAGTCTCTCTGATGCAATACACTTAAAAACTGTGAGAAGTTAGCCTCTTTATATACATTATGTGCCATGAATTCACCAAATGACAGTATATACTTGTGAGACTGACTGCCTGGCTTTCGCAAAATATACATTTACGTAAACCATTTTAGTTCCAGGAACACTTAGTAATATAAACCATTTTGAGTTCCAACAGAATATTACAAGCCAAGAAAATAAAATTCTATACTTTCACACTTGTGAAATATGCTTGACAGGGTAAATAAGAAAAACAAAACACTTTGTTCAAAACATAGAAGATTTAAGAAGTTCCCAAATCTGCAAGCTGTTAACCATGGCAGTAATTTGAATTATGATGATATCATCATAAATACATATCATTCATTGTTGACTGCATGTCTTTTGTGGTATACTGTTCTTTAAGCTGTTAATATTTGTATATAATTTCTAAATTAGGAAGGATTCAGTTAAAAAGTCAATTTGATGTCAACATCTGAAATACTGAAAACTATGTTAACAAAAAAAGCATATTAATCTATGTTAAAGTATACACTTAAACCAGTCATGAAACTCGTAAAACCAAGCCTTTATTTTCTCGGGGATCAATAGAGATTTGATGGGTGGAGCTTCTAAAGCAAAGTTCTGTAATGCACTGACCACACACTCACACAGCCAGAGTGGACCACAGAACTTTCCCCGAGGAGCCATGGTTGAATGTGTGTGTTTCTCTGTGTAAGTGTGTCCATATGTTCATACTAATTTGTGTGGGTATGCAACTTTGGAAGATGAAGCCTATAAGCCTTTTTGAATTCTAGATTTGTCTTTAAAATGTATCAAGCATTTACTGCAATCATTTGGGCTTCAGTCAGTTCGCTGGCAGTTGCCTTGAGAAGGTTACCCACTGAGGACCAATCAGCTCCTGAGGTTCCTGGGAAGTAAAACACATGTTAGAATTCATGCCCACTCTCTAGAATGAGCTGACGTGTCTCCATGCATTAACTTCAAACTGTTGCAACGATATTTAGGAGAATCCTAATTTGACACAGTCTGTAATTGAGGTCTTATTTTATACAACCCGCAAAGGTTTATTTTGGCATGTTGAAACAAGAAAAAAATAATAATTCAGCCAAGAGTATATATGTGCAATATATGAAAACATACACATATACTTTTTCCTCCTAATGTAGGCTATAACAATTCACCAATTCCGTTTTCAGAAGCATATTTAAGAATCAACAATGTAGTACATACTGGCCTACATGTGAATTTGTAAAGAGCTGAGAGTTGTTGTTTAAAACAACAGTCAACCATGTTTTTGCACAGGTTCTCTGCTCAGGTTTTGTATCCAAAACTTCTCAAATTACTCTGTTAAACAGTTCAAGCTTGGCATCACTTTAAGAACTGCCTAAAGCAGTATAATTTAGTGCGCACGCTTTTCTGAGTTTATTGCATCACCTCCAAAAACATAAACTAGAGGCCAAATCCACTAATGAAAGTTTCATTCTGGACTGTGAAGTGTCTGCTTACCTCACGGCTGACCGGTGGCTCTCCTGGCTGAAGCAGACTGAATGCATTGCTGGACCCTCTCTCTCTCTCTCTCGCTCTCTCTCTCTCTCCGTCGCTAAAGGAATGTCGACGTGGAGCTGCCAAACGTGAACGTGTAGGGTGCTCATGAACGCGCTCGTCGGAGATCTTCTCTGAGCTCGAACCCTTGGCATAGGTCGAGTGGGCATGGCGCTAATCACAGCTACCTGTCACATTTCGTGGCGTGTTGAAAACTGAGGGGGAAGACATTCTTGAAAGACGGACAATGCATCATTCATCTGAAGCTGTGTTTAAATACATTATGTACATTTCATTTGATAATGTAGCCTATTACATTGTACACTGTGCATGTTTAATGTTGGGAACATTTCATCAAAACAAAATCCTCATAATGGCCTCACTTGGCCATTAAACTTGTATTAACTTATATTTTTACGTAGCCTAGTTGTAGACTCTGAAAAGAAAACCAGAGCAAGTAGCAGTTATTATGCCTTTATTTCACGTTTTAAGAAGTTAAACTTTGCTTTTTCGTTTGTGACTGTGAAGACTCGAGATAAAACTGTTTCATCAACATGATTATTGAGGAGGAAAGAAGGCTGTATGTTGTAAAGTGATGAAGGCATGTCTAGTTGAGTTGAAAGCTGTTATTGGTCGATGCTTTTTAGTAGGCGGGTCAATGATAATATTTGTGTTCTGCTGTTTAATTGGCTGATGGATGCTTCCTGATTTTGTTATCTGCTGTTTGATTGGCTGATGGAGATAGTGGGCGAGTCCCGTTTGTATTTGGGTTGTTAGTTACACACGCGTGTCGTCAGATTTGATGCAGAAATATGCTTTGCTGATGCTTGTATTAGACCTCCATCAGACAAGTCCTTCAACATCAATTGAAAGACATGGACGACCCTTCAGCTCAGTTTCAACACGAGGTAAGTTTAAGAAAACAGTACTTTGATAAGAAACCAAATATATTTTGTCAAACTTTACAACATGGACTGGGTTCAATCCATATATACATCCATGAAATTTGGAAATTTGTTTTTTGAAGTCCCATTTTTGAAGTTGTGTAATAATGTTTTTGTGTAATAGCAGCCTTATTGTAGAATTGCTGAGATGATCTTAAAAGTTACCTGTGAAATGTATGCAGGTAAAAATTAAAATAAGAAAGGACAGGACTAGCCTATTAAGAAAGATAAACTTACTAAAGCGTTGCAGTGTTCAAAAGAAATAAAAGAAAGCCATCAAACATTATTGTTTTGTGGAATTTTTTATACATGCAGTTTGGACTTTATTTATTTATTTATTTATTTATTTTTGTTACCTTTACTGTCATCATCTTGAAGTAGTGTGTGTATATACGCTGCAGTTCAAAAGTATGGGATCAGAACGTTTTTTAATGTTTTTTAAAGAAGTTTCTAAAGCTCATCAAGGCTGTATCTATTTGATCAAAAATATCCTGTGATCAAATTTTAATTTTCAGCATCATTACTCCAGTCTTCAGTGTCACATGATCCTATAGAAATCATTCTAATATGCTGATTTATTATCAGTGCTGGAAACAGTTGTGCTACTTAATATTTTTTGAGACCTGTGATAATTTTTTCAGGATTCTTTGATAAATAAAAAGTTAAAAAGAACAGTGTTTATTAAAAATATAAATTTTGTGTTACAATATACCTGTACACAATTCAAAAGTTTGGGGTCAGTAAATTTTTTCTTTCTTTTTTTTTAAGAATTAATCATTTTATTCTGCAAGGATGTGTTAAATGGATAAAAAGGGATGACTTTTATTGTTAGAAAATATTTTTATTTTGAATAAATGGTGTTTTTGTTAACTTTTTATTCATCAAAGAATCGAAGAAAAAAAGTATCGCAGGTTCCAAAACATTATTAAGCAGCACAACAGTTTCAACATTAATAATAAATCAGCATGTTAGAATGATTTCTGAAGGATCATGTGACACCGAAGACTGGAGTAATGGCTGATAAAAATTCATCACTGCATCACAGATATAAATTATATTTTAAAGTATATTAAAATAGGAAATCAATATTAGAAATTTCAATAATATTTCACAATATCAATGTTTTTCTGTATTTTTGATCAAATAGATACAGCCTTGATGAGCATAAGAGACTTCATTAAAAAACATAAAAAAATCTTACAGTCCCAAACATTTGAATGGCAGTGTGTGTGTGTGTGTGTGTCTGTGTGTATATATATATATATATATTAGTGCTGTTAAACGATTAATCGTGATTAATCGTCTAGCATAGGGACGTGTATATTGATGTGCCGATATAATAAATGTATATGTACATTAGATATATATTCTTAAAAAAGCAATTAGAGCGTATTTTTGAACTGCAAAAGAATCCTTTTTTGTATTTGAATATTGGGCTGTAAGTGGGGAGTGGAGGACAGTCAGAAAAGCTTTGGCCCGAGGTCTCTGTAACATTGGGGGAGGCCACCCACATTAAATTAGTCTCATCTGTCATGAATTCAAGTAACTGGGTTGGTTAAATAAACATTTCACTTTGTGCACCTGATCCAGACACACCCAAGACTGCACTACTGTTTCAGGGTGGGTAGCCATTTACCCCAATGAGTTAATTCATAAATCAGTTCTCTTTTATGCACACAAAGATCTATCAGCCTGTCTACACTTTAACACAGTTGCATCATCACACACCCAGCTGTAGGCGTGTGTATTCACCTTCACTCAGCTTACCTTTATACCTTCTTTCTCCCAGTTATTCTTGTTTTTTTGTATTATCTGATTAATTGGTTTCACTTGGTTGCTCAGTGAAGTAAATTCACAACCTCCTATGTAAGCTAGAGCATTTATTTACTTGCGTGACTTCAGTGAGAGGGCAACAAGTTCAAGGTCTTTATGACTGACTCCATTACAAATGCTGTGACCACCGCTTAGAAGTTTTGTTTGTGTACCAGCATATAAAGTGCGCTCACTCCAGAAGACCGCGGTGTCATGGCCTTCAGGTTAACACACACGCTTTTTACACGGAAACAGCAAAGCTGGAATGGACATATGCTGATTATAGGGTCTGAAAATGGTAAAATATGCTTGAAAACATTTTTAATCACAATGTGCACAGCTCAATATCTCACCTTGTAAACACCAATGGCAAAATCTATCACTGACAATGAATTAAAATGACTAATGAATAGGTTGAATAGGTTACAAATTAGGCTTTAAACCACAGTAAATGACAAGCTGACTCCTGTTGTTCCCTAGTGTGTGATTCTCTGAGAAGACCAGTACATAAAAATGGCAGTATGTTAGAACTAAACAATTTTTTTTTCTTTGCCACTGTAACATTTTGTTTGCTCACTGGGGGAAACAAAATGTATTTTGAACAACCCCAAAAATCTATATATTTTCTTTTTTTTTTAAATACATTTCAAAATAGCAAAAATATATTTGCTAAAATATGTTTAAAATATATTGTGAGTTATTATTGGCTAAATATATTTTCAACACACACATACACACACACATATATATATAGAGAGAGAGAGAGAGAGAGGTCATTTTCTGTATATTTTTGAAAATACATTTCATTTTTAAAAAGCATTAAAACTTTCACATTGTCTATAACACATGTGAACATACAGTATAGCATTTACATAAAAATCAAAGAATATATACACTAGGCTATATACAAAAATTAAACATTATTAAATCTAGTTTTGATATCCAGTAGGCTATTCCACAAACATGTATTTAGCCTAAACATAGGCTACTATTGCCTCTGAAATACAATTTGATATGTATTTTGATATATGAAGGTTACTAAATATATCAATGAAATCAATTTCAAAAATATATTTCATATTAGCAACATTATGTATACATTTAAAATAATTTTTTGCAATATGGGATAGTAAAACTTTAAATTAAACTCTAAATTAACCTGAAATGAATTGATCTGAACTGAACACAAAGGTCTGTTGTACCTGAAGAAAGCTATCTGCATTCCCATTCATCTCAATAGCAGTTGTTCTGCTTTACTCCCATAAGTACGCAGTTTGGATTCTGCCATCTCTGCTCATGGGCTCATTCAGGTTTTTTTTTTTTTTTGAGCCAATCACCTAAGCCATAACTGGATTCATGCCAACCAGCCAAACATTTACCCCTCGTCTGAACTGATCTGATCTACACTGAAATGAACTTGTCTGATGTGAACTGATCTAATCTGAACTGAATTGAACTTACCTGAACTGAAATGTTTCTATTTTCAGTTCCACATCTGTAGTGTGCACCGTAGATGTCACTGACATTTACTTTAAGTAGAAAACAAAGCAGAGACACAAAGCAATTTATTGGTCTAGTGTCGTATTTCAGACTCCCTCAGTGGCAGCACAACCTCTGCCCATACAATCAGGGCTCATAAATGCACTGATTACCTTTTTATCATATCAAAAGAAGTAATTACAAGTGATCTTACATCAATGATTCTCAACCTTTTTGACTCCAAGGCCCCACATTGTCCACAACGATATTCAATTTTTACTGGATAAGTTAAAATAAATATTTTTTTTACTAAGTTAGTTTCTTGTACATTCTTTTTAAAAATGCAAGTTTTCTTGATTTTTAGTTGTTTTTGCTTTTTTATCATGTTAGGTGGCCTTCTCTGAAGTTTGCTTATAAGTTGTCTAATATGTTGTTCAGTTTAATTGGCTTTGTGCATTGGTTCTGATAAGGTGAAATTAAAGCATGTTTCACTGTATTCATAAAATAAAATGATCCGCCCTGATAGTGTTTATTGTTATACCATGCTACACCAACCTGAAAAGTTTACAGGTGTATTTGGTTAGAAGGCACCTGCCAAGCAAATTAATGTGAATGCAAATCGCGCACAAAAACATGACTGATATTGTGAGAGTTCACTGAAAGTTTATGCAAACATGCTCTTATTGTAATACCAGTGTGCACAGCCATATACAAACATGGTCAATTGTCTGTTTTACATGATGTCTTTCTGTTTAGGATTTGATTGATATTTTATGGAGGCAGGATGTCGATTTGGGGGTGAAGCGAGAGATCTTTGATGGATGTCTTCGGCAGAGAGAGGAGGAGATCACGAGAGCAAGAGAAAGAGAGTTAAAAAGAGAGCGAGAGCTTAAAAGGATAATGCAAAGGATACAGAAACTAGACAAGGAAACTGGAGAGTTTTTGCCTAGTCCTTCATCTGTGAACTCCCAGGTGACCATTTTATTAACTACACATGTAAACAAATAAACAGTGTGCATCCCTAATATTAATAAATCTCTCCAAATAACACCTGTGTGCACACCCACACACTCTCTATTGTTTAGTGTTGCTTACAGAGCTATTTTCACCATGTTTTAGGCTGTGCCCTTCTCAGAGACATTGCATTCTACCGAGTTTACTCAGCGTTCACCTGTTACCCAGAATCCTCTGCTGTCTGCACTGCTATTCTCTCAGAAGTCTCAGAAGCCTCCTTCTCAAGAGCAGGCTTTTAGTGAACTGCTGTCACTGCCGGACTTACAGGTACTTATGTACACAATGCAGAAAGATGTACACAGACATGCCTGAACTGGTGCACGGTTGGCGTTTCATTATGGAATAAATTTTCTTTTTTGCAAGTTTACAGACAAAGTTACATTAAATTTGGGTAACCGTAAGTTGTAAGAGGCTGTATGGTAATTATAAAGCCACTGAATTTATTAAATCACAAATAAGTCAGCACATTCTTAATAGAGTTGCCTTTCTACCTTAGAAAAATATAGTGAGCATTTAATGGTGGTTTAAATGAAGTGTAAAAAAGATTAAAAGTTAACATAATTGACAGATGCCTAAACTGTTGTTGGTAGCTACCATACGAGATAAGATCTATATTTTAATATATTTACTCATGTATTATTTCTAAATTGTAACTACAGTATGATTCAACCTGTTTATTTTAAATGTGCTTTATAAATTAAAAGAAAAAGAGGCTTTGTCTTGGCTGTGAAGTGAGTGCCAATTATATTTGCACAAACACAATTTCATAAAAGTATCTAGTTGTCAAATCAATCTGTTAGGTATATTTAGGTAAACATTAATACCAGATAAGGGATTATAACCAAGTATCTAATCAGTAATATTAAAAACGTTAAAGCAATAGTAATTCATTTGAGGTGTGTGCCTATTTGCGATATGATGAGTTAATGTTTAGATTTTTCATGGAATAGCATGAAGGTAATGTCCCCACTATCGTTAAAATGCCATTCGGACATATCACAATTGTCTCTAGCATGGCCTTGTCTCACATGTAACCCACAGCTCACGCAGTCCCACTCCTCCAAGTCTAGCATGGGTTGTTGAGTAATAGACTGTAGTAGATCCTCTGCTAGGATAGTGACTGCATTGAGTGTGCTTGTGACCATTGTCCTGTATCATAAAATAACAAGTGAGACACCCCTCAGTGAGAGGAGGATGTGATTTTGGAGAGAGGGAGCGGTCTGATTCAATGGCCAAATCTGGCAGAAGTCAGCAAAATGGCAAATATCACTTACAGCACCTTTAATACTTTTTCCCCCCAAGTGATAAAATGGTCCCAATCACTTTAGAACACATTTTGTGTTAAATTCAATATATTCTTTTTCAATGCATGTTCCATTTATTTACTCAAAACTACAATAAAACAGTAATATTGTGCAATATCATTACAATTTGAAATATCCGTTTTCAAATTTTAATATAAACATGATTTATTCCTGGGATGGCAGTGCTGAATTTTCAGTGTCACATGATCCTTCAGAAATCATTCTAATATGCTGATTTGCTGCTCAAAAAGCATTCCTTCTTATTTTCAAAGCTTAAATATTAAGTGCTGTTTAATATTTTTGTGGACACTGTGATATATACAGTATATGTCCAGGATTCTTTGATGAATAAAAAGCATCGATTTGAAATAGAAATCTTTGGTAAATGCCTTTCATGTAACTTTTGATCAGTTTAATGCATCCTTGCTGAATAAAAATTAATATCTTTCAAAGAAACTTACTGACCCCAAACCTTTAAACAGTAGTGTAAATATTTTAGATTACCATGTACAGCCTACGCACATTTCCACTAAAATCTCAGTGGGCATATGAATAATACGCAATCCATCGATATAAATGTTATATTTTTAATACAAGTAAAACATTTGTGACTCCAAAAAGTTTATACGAAATATGTATAAATGTGGAGGTTGCAAAATAATATCATACCTCTTTGTAAACTGCAGAATAAAATTATCAGAATACTTTTTTTCTCACAAAAATTTATTTTAAAATGTCTAATATAATTAAAATACTGTTTTGTTTCTCTGTTAGTATTATTTGGATGTCCTGGAGTCTGAGGGCTCAAGCTTGCCCCTAGAGGAGATCACCGAAATCTGCCACCAGAACCTGCCCGAGCCACAGAGGGAAAACTCAACAGATGCGCTATGTGGCGTCACACAGACAATATCAGACTCTTTTGAGGTTGCTCAGCCTTTGTCATGCATGCCCTCTGATCCCATAGAGATCCTGGAAACATGCATACAGACATTCTCAGATCCAGGAAATCCTACACCTTCACCTTCAAACACAATTTACAGCTGCAGTACCCCTGAGAATCAAGTGATTTTACCTAAATGCCACATAAACTCAAGCGATTCAACCCTCAGTGAGTTTTGCCCATATACCATCAATACCAGTAAACCTGAACAATTAAATAGTGCACCTGGAAGGGACGCTCCACAAACGCTTTTACAATTTGAGGAGCGCCATGTTCTGCTGGGGTTTGATGACTCTGCTTCTGTTGGCTCTGTGGATTTAGAGACATCCCTCTACGCTGCTGACACCTTAAGTAATGGGCAATCAGACAAGGATGAGCTGGAGAGCATCCAATCAGATTACACCGATCTGCTGCCTTTATCTCTACACTCTGATGCTGTGGATGCAACGCTGTATGAAACGTCTGCACAACACCAAACTCAAAATGAATCAACACCTAAATATTCACCTCAAGCAAATCCCTTAACCACAAGCAGAGCTGCAGGTGTCCGGCGCGTATGTCGTGATGAACAGCGGGCCCAAGCCATGAGTTTGCCGCTTAGTGTGCATGACATCATCAACCTGCCTGTGGAAGCATTTAACGAAGCCATCGGCTCTTGCAAACTCAACAACGCTCAACATAGCCTCATCAGAGACATTCGAAGACGTGGTAAAAACAAGATGGCAGCCCAGAGCTGTCGCAAACGAAAGCTGGATGGTCTCTTTGATCTCGAAGACGAGATTGAGGGGCTGAAGAGGGAGAAGGAGCAAATCAAGGAAGAAAATAAGAGGAACGCTAGAGAACTTCAAGAGACCAAAGAGAAGCTCAGGAAGCTTTACAATGAGGTGTTCAGACAGCTGAGAGATGAACATGGAAACTCCTACAACCCTAGAGAGTACAAACTACAGCACAGCACTGACGGCACGGTTTACCTGCTGCCACGTGGCACAGCCAACAAGACAAATACGCCAACAGAGGATTTACCTTTTGCTTTATAATAAACCTGAAGTACAGCAAAGCTCTTTTGGTGTTTGTAACTTTACACACCAGGGACTTTAGTTTTGGGACGTTGTGGTCTTGAGGAATCACAATGTTTGTGTCTGGCATCCACATTCATCTCCTATTGATTCTGTCAAGGGAGGTTGGTTGAGTGACAATTTATGCAGTTACATTAGCATCATCCCCCAGCCGTTGTTTTCAGTCATGCATTACAGCTACTGTCTACTTGAATAGGGAAAGAATGAAATCTACAAAATTGTTGTCAATGTTACATTTAAATGACAATAAAATTGAACAACTATGGTATTATAAATTTTAGCTTGAATCATGAGGCTGATCCAGTCAATGCAAATACATACATATATACTGTATATGTACATATATACTGTGTGTGTGTGTGTGTGTGTGTGTGTGTATATATATATACACACACACACACACAAAACTGTTCAAAAGTTAGGTGTTGTTAAGGTTTTGTAAAGTCAACTTTTTAAAAGTCTTTTGATCAAACATGCATTAGAAACAGTAACAACTATTAAATATTACAATTTAAAATAACTTTTCTATATTTTTATATATTTAAAAATAATTTTTTAGTAATGGCAACACTGAATTTTCAGCAGCCATTACTCGTCTTCAGCATCACATGATGCTTCAGAAATCAATCTAATATGCTGATTTGGTGATTAAGAAACATGTGTAGTTATTATCAAGGTTGAAAACAATTGTGTTGCTTAATATTTTTATAGAAACAGTGATACATTTTTTTTTCAGATTCCTTTGATGAATAGAAAGTTTAAATAGATTTCACTTTTGATCAGGTTAATTCATCCTTGCTGAATAATCGCAAATGTATCTTTTACTGACCTAAAAACTTTGGAACAGTACAGTATACTCTATAGAAACTATAGAAAATATATGTGTGTAGACTTATGTATATTCATCTCTCACACAAGTTTGGAAATAGGCAGAGATTATTTATTGACAACTCCAGAATTTTACAGATTATATGACGAGATTCTGAATAAATGAAATATTCATGCTATATGTAGTTGGAAACTGTAAGATTTCTTGGAGGGCTGTCTAAAATACATATTCTTATGGAAAAAGATTTGATGCATGTACTGTGTATCTGCAACAGAAAATCTGTTTTATGAATACTTGTGTGTTCTAATTAATAGCACGTTTTATCCACATTATTTTGCATTCAAATACTCTAAGATTGTCATGTAGTTCCAATATATTTAAATCCAATAAAAACTGTTTAAAACTAAATACAATGACACTTAATTTATGTATTCACTGAATATTGAGTATAGGACTTCAATTTTATGCAGCATTAATACGCCCGCTGCTGGAGCAAAAAGAACACAGCAACATTATGCCGTGTTTAGCTGCATCAAAGGACTGCCTCTACATTAAAATGTTTAAATAACATATCTTACATATTATAACACGTTTGAACTTCCTATGAACAGAATTCCTCATTAACACAGAAACTTGAGTCTAAACTTGAAGTTTATTATACTTCATAGTGTAGGCACTTTCCATGTACACATCATTTTAGACAAAGGCATCACACAGTGGAAAAAAAGATTTACGTCAACTACATTTTTATATAAGAGATCTAATTCTACTGTTGCAGCAGGCAGGTTCCTGGTATGGCATTGTGAACAGGCAAAGAAGTAGTTTGGAATTGTGTTGGGAACACTTGAAATATTCACAAACTTTTATATAATGGCCCTTTCTCCATCCTACTGATCTATAAATATGGTTTAGCCTCAACAGAACTAACAATCTTTTAATGCACATAGGACATTAAAGACATCAATCATTTCAGCCAGATCAATCACTTCAGATCAGAGGAGTGAGAAATGTTGGGCAAAGTGAGGTGCTCAGGGTAGTGAGCCTTTGGAATGGCGCGAGGACCCCGACTGGCTCTCTCGGTCGTGCTCCTTAAAGTAAGCCTGTTCAATACGATGGCAGAAGGAAAGCAGGTTGGTGTAGGATTTAACCTTTTCGGCAAGCTCGTCGTTGGTCAGTTGTGTGGTGAGTATGGTGAAAAGATGACCAAACACTAGAGCATCTAGTTCAGTTGGCCTGTGACATTGAAAGTACAACAATTAGTGAAGACAGCATATGCAAACGGAGTTATGTTACATGTCTCTATGTGTACAGACATTCAGAACTCACTGATGCTCAACTTCTGGTATTGTAGTGTATGTGCACAAAACGTACTGTTTGTTGAAAAAGTAGGGCTGTGTTCCCAATCGCTGTGACAAGGCCTGGCAGCACTGACTCACATCTTCATACACCTGAGAAGAGGAAACCCGCACGAAACTTTATGTACCGCACATTGATTAAAGAAAAACACAAACTGACTTGGACAGTGAATTACACTGAATTAATATATCTGCACACAAAAAATACCTGCTCCAGACTCTTTCCAGACCATCCAATTGCATTCATCTTCCTCCGTACCTCCCACTGCTTCTGATAGGCCAGAATGTGATTGAGGGGCCAAGAATAGGGACTACTGTATCGTGGCCTAGAGATCTAAACACACACTCCCATTAAAAATCTAACATGATGTTATATATTTATATATCTATCTATCTATATGCTGACATTTAGTGCCACTGATGTCATCTTTGTTAATATATTATATATGATTTGGGAACATCCTTACATGTGACACATACCTCTGTAGCAGTATAGTCATCACACCACTGGATATACAACTAGAAAGAACAGGTAAAGTTTCACTAGTCTGCACAGTTTATCACTTTTAAAATATTTATGTAAGGATAAAATACATATAATTAGAGAAATCCACAAGCAAAGATACAAAATGTGCTGGAAATTGAGCTTTTTGTATACAAATGTATCAATCAGATTTTGTGCATATGGCTATATTCACAAACTTTTATATAATGGCCCTTTCTCCATCCTACTGATCTATAAATATGGTTTAGCCTCAACAGAACTAACAATCTTTTAATGCACATAGGACATTAAAGACATCAATCATTTCAGCCAGATCAATCACTTCAGATCAGAGGAGTGAGAAATGTTGGGCAAAGTGAGGTGCTCAGGGTAGTGAGCCTTTGGAATGGCGCGAGGACCCCGACTGGCTCTCTCGGTCGTGCTCCTTAAAGTAAGCCTGTTCAATACGATGGCAGAAGGAAAGCAGGTTGGTGTAGGATTTAACCTTTTCGGCAAGCTCGTCGTTGGTCAGTTGTGTGGTGAGTATGGTGAAAAGATGACCAAACACTAGAGCATCTAGTTCAGTTGGCCTGTGACATTGAAAGTACAACAATTAGTGAAGACAGCATATGCAAACGGAGTTATGTTACATGTCTCTATGTGTACAGACATTCAGAACTCACTGATGCTCAACTTCTGGTATTGTAGTGTATGTGCACAAAACGTACTGTTTGTTGAAAAAGTAGGGCTGTGTTCCCAATCGCTGTGACAAGGCCTGGCAGCACTGACTCACATCTTCATACACCTGAGAAGAGGAAACCCGCACGAAACTTTATGTACCGCACATTGATTAAAGAAAAACACAAACTGACTTGGACAGTGAATTACACTGAATTAATATATCTGCACACAAAAAATACCTGCTCCAGACTCTTTCCAGACCATCCAATTGCATTCATCTTCCTCCGTACCTCCCACTGCTTCTGATAGGCCAGAATGTGATTGAGGGGCCAAGAATAGGGACTACTGTATCGTGGCCTAGAGATCTAAACACACACTCCCATTAAAAATCTAACATGATGTTATATATTTATATATCTATCTATCTATATGCTGACATTTAGTGCCACTGATGTCATCTTTGTTAATATATTATATATGATTTGGGAACATCCTTACACGTGACACATACCTCTGTAGCAGTATAGTCATCACACCACTGGATATACAACTAGAAAGAACAGGTAAAGTTTCACTAGTCTGCACAGTTTATCACTTTTAAAATATTTATGTAAGGATAAAATACATATAATTAGAGAAATCCACAAGCAAAGATACAAAATGTGCTGGAAATTGAGCTTTTTGTATACAAATGTATCAATCAGATTTTGTGCATATGGCTACCATTCAAACGTTAGGGGTCAGTAAGGGTTTTTTTTTTTTTTATAAACACATTTAATAATATTGAAACTATGTAAAATTCCATAAAATGAAAACTTTTATTCAGCAATTACCTGGTAAAACTGATTAAAAGTGACAGTAAAGACATCTATAATGTTACATCTATTTCAAATAAAAGACAATTTTTCATTTTTCATTAATCTGCTGTTCTTTCTATAATCAAAGAATCCTGAAAAAAAATGAATCACAGTTTCCACAAAAATATTAAGCAGAACAATTGTTATCAACACTGATACTAAGAAATGTTCCTTGAGCACCAGATCAGCATATTAGAATGATTTCTGAAGGATCATGTGACACTGAAGACTGGAGTAATGATT